TATTATGTGTGCAACATTTGAAGCATCCATACAAATGTTTCAGTATATATTAGAAATGTATACTGGTGAAAAAAAAATCGCTTGTTTGATTACCAAGTACCCCGAACCACAGGAAAATATAACCGAAAAAATTGTGGTGGGAACGCCATCCGAAATCATTGAAAAATATCAAACTGCTAATCTTATTGATAGAATCGAAAAAATATATTTGGACGACGCCGATAGTTTTCTCTCTTGGAAAAAAATGAAGACGTTTTTAGAAAAAGTCAATTGTCAGTTGGTTTATGTGTCTAGCAACCAAAATACGAAAGTTGAAAATGTTTTCAAGAGTCTTGGCAAAACGAAAATTGCGAAAGAACCATTCTGTGGCTTCAACAAATTGACCGAAGTAAGCTCATGAGCAATGTCTGCATTAATTAATTAATGCAGTATAATTTTCACTTTTCAAAAAAATCAAGATTTACAATTAATTCAAATTGTTTTCAGTTTATTTTCATCAAGAGGAATGGTACTGATCATGATGACACAATCATACAACAAATTTGTGAAGAATTCAAGGGTAGGAATTCACAATCGATGATTTTTTGTTCAGTAAGTTTTTAGACTACATTTAAAATTGAAAAGTCTCTAGATGATTTTAAACACACGAATAAACATTTCAGAACCGAAATGAAGCGTTCCGCCTATCGAGTAAATTGATAGAAAATTATGCTAATTGTAAGCTTCACTCTGGAGATTTGACATATAAGATACGGGAATATGGAATTACATCGTTTATTTTGGGTACCACTCAGTTCATCGTTTCTACGGATCTCTTGAGCCTTGGGGTCAATGGAAATAATGTAAAAGCAGTTATATTTGCTCAAATGCCAGTCAACGTCCACGGACAAATAGATTTTAGCCGATTTAGGCGATGCGTTGGTCGATGTGAGAGATTTGGACGACCAGGATTAGTGATTTCATTTGTATCGCCAAAGGAATTGAATGAAATACGACCACTTGGAATAAAAAAATTAATAATTGAAGATTAAAAATAATTCAAATTGAATACCGCTGTAGCGTTTATAAGCACAACAGATTTTAATCAAATAATGAAGTGTTTGTTGTGGTCATTATTTCACCTCAATGTGTAGAAATTGACAGTGTACGTATACGTTTATACACACAGTGTACATGTCATCTGTCAATGTCATATGGCGACTAGTTTTTTATAAAACGATTATTAACGTACGTACGAACTCTGTTGAGCTTCTTAGTTCTTATTAAATAATAAATATTAAGCATATATATATATATATATATATTTATAAATATAAAAGTGTGTAATTTATTTAATTCTATAATTTCTTCGCGAGATTCTTTCGTAAAAATGATACAAGCATCAAGAAAAAGAAATCGACGTACGCCACAAAGATTTGGAAATATTGTAGAAACGTGTTCTAACCTAGATTTTGACTCATTTGAAGACGATCTGTTCAAAGATAATTCATTTGACGATCAAAATTATATTCCACCGCAAAGTCCACCAAAAGTTATTACAACTATTTCAAAGTCACTTTATTCACAAAATAAAAAGAAGAAAACCCAACATGAACATGCTCATGAGCATTGTGATCACGTAGATCAAACTCAAAGTTCAGTGATAAATCTCAATACAGAATTTGATTTGTTAACTGAAAAAAGTACGAGTATTAGCGCGAAAAGTCCAAATAATCAAAATGATTCGGGAGGAATTACTAATGCAACAAAATCTCTCGACATTGAAATCGATTTGTTTGCACAAGAAAATTCGTCGAATTGTGAAATGAATAAATGTACAAATAAAGCAGTTGCAGACAATTTTAAAGTTGACATTTCTGAATTTTCGAGTTCGCTAACAAATATTGACGATAATAAATTCAATGATTTGTGCTTGAAAATTTTGTGTGACCTCCAAGCAACTTCAAAAGAGACTTTAGCACGAATCGCTTTAATAGAAGATGAAATGATTACGAACGGATCGTCACTTACCAATCAAAAATCAAATATTGTTAAGCAAATCGAGAATGCAAAGATGTTTAATTCTGCAAATAGTCTACCCATTCAAAATATAAACAATTTGGACATGTTTGAAGCGAATTTGAAAGAGGAAAAATTCAAAGCAGTAGCGGTAATAATTATATAATTAATCCATCTAATTCAGTTTAATTACAATTATATTATATAAACCATTTATGATCTTTCTCCCTACAGATTGAAAGTCTTTCAAATCAACCAGATGTGAGAGCTACAATCGGAAATCAACCAAAAATGTTGAAGAAAGTCTTATCCAAAATAATGGATCGTGATCTACTTGCGCAATACAGTTGGACGGGAAAGTCCATTGATAAAAAGAAAAGAGCATTCAAGAATTTGGTTAATATAAACGACTTACTGTATCAAACAGTTAATAAAATCGATGTGAATTATACAGCTGTTATAGCAGAAAGTCATTTGAAAAACAAAATTTTGAAATATGCAAGAGAGTAAGTCTATAGATTATACGTAAATATACAGCATACTTTAATAAAAAAAAATTAATATTGCAAACAGTTATAAAAGGGAGAAGAAAACTGATAGCAACATCAAAATTGTTCAGACCGTAGGTGACTATAGCTCTGAAATTCATTCAATCGACCAATTAGCTGC